AAATCAAATGCTAATCCGTTTTCTTGAACAGCTAATTTGCATATTTCTTCAGTTTGTTCTTTTACATATTTTAATGCATGTCCATTCTGTTGAACAGCCAATTTACATATTTTTTCGGTTTGTTTTTTTACACATAACACGGCCAATCCATTTTGTTGAACTGCTAATTCACATAATTCGTCGGTTTGTTCCCTTACATCTCCCAACGCAAATCCATTTTGTTGAACTGCTAATTCACATATTTCTTTAGTTTTTTCTTTTACATATAGTAAAGCCGAGACTTTTTGTTTGACTGCCAATTCGCATATTTCATTGGTTTGTTTTTTTACATATTGTAAAGCCAAACCATTTTGCCGAATTGCCAAATCGCATATTTTATCTGTCTGATTTACTACATAATATAGAGCACAACCGTTTTGGCGGACTGCTAATTCACATATTATATCTGTCTGAATTATTACATATTTTAAAGCTAACCCATTTTGTTGAACTGCCAATTCACATGCTGTATGAGTTTGTTTTTTTACATGACGCAAGGCTAATCCATTTTGTCGAACCGCTAAATTGCACATTTCATCAGTTTGTACTTCTACATATTTTAAAAAAGTTCCTTTATGTCGAAGAACCTTAGTCCAAAACGAATCAGGCAAATCTTTAAGTTCGTCGAGACTCTTATACTTAAATTCACAGTTGAAATCCGAACCAGATAAAATCATGCTTATCGGAATTGGAATACAAAGTTTTTATTGACTATCTGGTTAGTAACAACAATATTGTCATTTTATGAAGTAGTTTATGTTTCAAATTTTTAAAAGTATTAAACTCGAACGATTTAACATGTAACATATTTGTTATGAAACAATTGCAATTGGGCGATTTTACCCGAAACATTTATTGCTTAAAACACACCAATTATAAAACAAAATCACTTGAATAGAATAAATGGGGGTGGAAGATAAGATTAAGAAAAAGTAAAAATGGTTAATCGGTCACATCAAACATTTTGCCAAAATATAATCATTATATTGAAAAATGTTTTAATTGTATTTGTATTTGTTATTGACGCTATTTTTGGTAATTGTTTACTGTTAATACTTTTTATTTTTTTGGCAAACCACATCGGCCCAGATTTTAATATTGGTCGATATAAATACGTGAAAATTTAAACAAATCAAATAAAAAAAGAACGTGTTTTGACAATATAATTTGTGCCATCTTCCTTCCGCCCCTAATTACATTTGAACAATTTTACTTAAAACATATTTTACTTTAAATATTTTTCATTTGAAACAAATTTACTCAAACAATTATACTTGGACAATTTAACTCAAAACGTGTTTTATTTATAATATTTTAAGTAAATTTGTTTTCATTAAAAATGTTTCCACTAAAATTGCCCATACTAACAATGTTACATACCATAATTATTACATACTAAAAATGTCTCATACTTCTTATTATGTTATATACTCATTATGTTTCTGCCAAAACTGTTCATAAACTGTTTCGCACTTATTTTATTTCATACTAAAATTGTTTTGTACTTATTTTGTTTCTACTAAAACTGTTCATACTAAAAATGTTACATACTTTTTTTGCTTCTACTAAAACTGTCCATACTAAAAATGTTACATACTCATTATGCTTCTACTAAAATTGTTCATACTAAAAATGTCACATACTTATTTTGCTTCTACAACAACTGTTCATACTAAAATTGTTCATACTAATAATGTTACATACTCATTATGCTTCTACTAAAATTGTTCATACTAAAAATGTCACATACTTATTTTGCTTCTACTAAAACTGTTCATACTAAAAATGTTACATACTTTTTTTTGCTTCTACTAAAACTGTCCATACTAAAAATGTTACATACTTTTTTTGCTTCTACAACAACTGTTCATACTAAAATTGTTCATACTAATAATGTTACATACTTATTTTGTTTCTACTACAACCGTTCATACTAAAATTGTTCATACTAAAAATGTTACATACTTATTTTGTTTCTACAACAACTGTTCATACTAAAATTGTTCATACTAATAATGTTACATACTTATTTTGCTTCTACAACAACTGTTCATACTAATAATGTTACATACTTATTTTGCTTCTACAATAACTGTTCATACTAATAATGTTACATACTTATTTTGCTTCTACAACAACTGTTCATACTAATAATGTTACATACTTATTTTGCTTCTACAACAACTGTTCATACTAATAATGTTACATACTTATTTTGCTTCTACAACAACTGTTCATACTAATAATGTTACATACTTATTTTGCTTCTACAACAACTGTTCATACTAATAATGTTACATACTTATTTTGCTTCTACAACAACTGTTCATACTAATAATGTTACATACTCATTATGCTTCTACTAAAATTGTTCATACTAAAAATGTCACATACTTATTTTGCTTCTACTAAAATTGTTCATACTAAAAATGTCACATACTTATTTTGCTTCTACTAAAATTGTTCATACTAAAAATGTCACATACTTATTTTGCTTCTACTAAAATTGTTCATACTAAAACTGTTACATACTTTTTTTGTTTCTACTAAAACTGTTCATACTAAAAATGTTACATACTTTTTTTGCTTCTACTAAAACTGTCCATACTAAAAATGTTACATACTCATTGTGCTTCTACTAAAATTGTTCATACTAAAAATGTCACATACTTATTTTGCATCTACAACAACTGTTCATACTAAAATTGTTCATACTAAAAATGTTACATACTCATTATGCTTCTACTACAACTGTTCATACTAAAATTGTTCATACTAATAATGTTACATACTTATTTTGTTTCTACTACAACTGTTCATACTAAAATTGTTCATACTAATAATGTTACATACTTATTTTGCTTCTACTACAACTGTTCATACTAAAAATGTCACATACTTATTTTGTTTCTACTAAAACTGTTCATACTAAAAATGTCACATACTTATTTTGTTTCTACTAAATATGTTTCAAGTAAATTAGTTACATCTAATTTTGTTACAAACTAAGATTGTTACAAGTAAATTAGTTACATACCAAGATTGTTACAAATTAAATATGTTTCAAACCATACACGTCTCAAGTAAATATAATATGTCTCAAGCAAATTAGTTACATACTAAAACTGTTACAAACTAAATACGTTTCAAGTAAATTAGTTACATACTAAGATTGTAACAAACTAAATATGTTACATACCAAGATTTTTACAAACTAAATATGTTTCAAACCAAATATGTCTCAAGTAAATATAATATGTCTCAAGCAAATTGGTTACACGCTAAGATTGTTACTAACTAAATATGTTACAAACCAAATATCTCTCAAGTAAATATGTTACAAACCAATTATGTCTCAAGTAAATATATCTCAAGCAAATTAGTTACACGCTAAGATTGTTACTAACTAAATATGTCTCGAGTAAATTAGTCACATACTAAGATTGTTACAAACTAAATATGTTTTCAAACTAAATATGTCTCAAGTAAATATGTCTCAAGTAAATATGTCTCAAGTAAATTAGTTACATACTAAGATTGTTACAAACTAAATATGTTTTCAAACTAAATATGTTACAAATCAATATGTCTCAAGTAAATATGTCTCAAGTAAATTAGTTACATCTAAGAATGTTACAAACTAAATATGTCTCAAGTAAATTAGTTACATACTAAGATTGTCACAAACTAAATATGTTTCAAGTAAATTAGTTACATACTAGACTATTACAAACTAAATAAATATGTTTCAAGTAAATTAGTTACATCTAAGAATGTTACAAACTAAATATGTCTCAAGTAAATTAGTTACATACTAAGATTGTCACAAACTAAATATGTTTCAAGTAAATTAGTTACATACTAGACTATTACAAACTAAATAAATATGTTTCAAGTAAATTAGTTACATCTAAGAATGTTACAAACTAAATATGTCTCAAGTAAATAAAATAGCTACATACTAAAATTGTCAAACTAAATATGTATCAAGTAAATTAGTTACATCTAAGATTCTTACAAACTAAATATGTCTCAAGTAAATTAGTTACATCTAAGATTGTTACAAACTAAATATGTCTCAAGTAAATAAAATAGCTACATACTAAAATTGTCACAAACTAAATATATCTCAAGTAAATTTGTTTTGTCATTACATCATTTTACTAAAAAAGGGACACCCAACAGTAAAAAAATATAATTGCACACAAGGGTTTAATAACATTTGACTCTATTATTTATATCAATAATAACTGAGTTGTCAATTTTTGTCGTTTCGGAAAACACATATTTCCACATCTTTCTTCCGTTTTATGATTCGAACACATTGTTCTAAATACGTCCAAATTATAAATTGTCAAATATTCATTCAGTTTTCTTTATAATCCCAAAATTGGAGTAGACGCGTTTGATTTTTGTTTTTATTTTTTCACTGTGATCACCTTCGATTATAATAACACCTTTTCCAAATTTGTCTTTTATGTTTCTTCCAAATTTGTTGCTGTTTTTTTACGGTTTATTTTATATAGCCCTTTTTTTATTTAATTTACCTAAAATAAAACAGTTTTTATATGTTTTTAGATAATTAGTTGGCATTTTATTCTTTTTGTCATTTTGACTCGATTATTATATTTAAGAAGCAATATTTTTAAATTATTTGCGTATTTATATTGATTAATATTGAAAAGTACACATAGATACAATTAAACCAAAATTTTAATAAAATAATTAACATGACTTATTAATTATGTTCACTTTTTAGTATTAATCAACATAAATACACAATAAATTTAAACATTTCTTCCTAATAAATCGTGTTATGATGACACAAAATTGCCTAAAATCATAAAAAGCCGTTTCACTTTACTTTAGGTAAATTAAACAAAAAATTGAAAATAAATATCGTTGCATTGCGTATTAATCTATTGAAAAGTAAGTCTTAATAATTATATTGATAGCCAAAAATGTTTAAATCAAACACCAAACCCAACCTCGATATCGCATTGAAGTCACAGGAAATTAAGGTATGTGTTAAGGACAAGTTTGCGCGTTATACGTTTAAACAAGAATACTATAACAAGGAGGAAAAACCGATCGAAGTATTTTACACATTCCCCACTCCAACTGAGGTTGCTCTATATGAATTTACGGCTGTTTTGGGCGATAATACCATTGTCAAATCGATTTGCAAGGAAAAAAAACAGGCAAAAAAGGACTATAACAAAGCAATTGAAAACGGCGATACCGCCTATTATATTGATAGGTCGGAGGGCAATATCTTTTCAATCGCAATCGGGAATTTAGCTCCGAAAACTAATATAACAATAATAGTCGAATTTGTTTCTGAACTCGATACTGAACAAAATATAAATAATTTACGTCTGAAAATTCCAGTGACCATATGCGAAAGGTACACGCCTAAATACAAGTATGTGGAAAAAAATTATATAGATTCTGTTTGTAATCCAAGCAAAACTTTGGAAAAACCTTATTCTTTGAACATTGAGGGAACCATTGAAATGGGTAGCAAACTATGTTCAGTTCTTACAAAGAATCATAACAAGTTCAAGGTATCATTTGTAGAGGAAAATATTTGCAAATTCGAGATAAAAGACCTTGACAATTTAGATAGAGATATAATAATTAATATTGAGCGCTTACCACCGTCATCGTCGCAAGCATTTACTCAAAAATTGTCAACCGAACCCAGAAATGGAGTATATAAATACTGCACAGTCGTAAATATTGTCCCAGATTTTACGTCCCTTCCAGAAGTAGACATCAAAAAATGTCATTATTGTATATTGATTGATAGTTCTGGATCAATGAATTATGAGGATAGAATGTCAAGATGCAAAACGGCAGCACAAAGATTTGTCACGTTGATACCAATTGGGGCAAGTTTCGACATATATGCGTTTAACAATAAATTTTATAAGTTTAAGTCCAACGAAACCGATGATATTATGCGCAAGTGCAAGGCATGCACTTGGATTGACAGCCTTTGTGCAAATGGCACAACGGAATTCGTTCCTGTTCTCAAAGACATATACTCTAATGTTGACAAACAAAAAAACACAGTATTAATTATATTAACCGACGGTGATGTAACTAATACGCAAGACATCTTAAAAATTATTAAGGCGAATCCAAGCGTTAGTGTATTCAGTATCGGCATTGGGTCTCAAGTGAGCGAGGAACTTGTAAAAGGAATGGCTACCCAAGGAAACGGACGATGTGAAATCATCGACAAAGCGTCTGGATCTAATGACGATATTAGCAAAATTGTCACCGCTCAATTCAACAACGCTAAAGACAGTTTACGAAAACACTTAAATAATTACAAAATTGAACTCGATAAAAAAACATACGGAGATAGTTACATTACGATTCCGACAGAAAACAGAACTCTTTTTCAGAATACCGAGAGCTTAATATTTATTTTAAGCAACTTTTTTCCAGAAGTTGTTAATTTTACAACTTATGGCTTTGATGGCAGATCAGTCACCAATCAAATACAAATACAGCCCGTTTGTACAGATGGAGAGTTTTTACACAGAATTGCGGCAATTAAATTGATTAATGAACTTGAACTTCAGATCATGGAAAGTAACAGGGGATCGAAAATACAACATATGCAAATTAATGATGTTGATACCGACGATTCTACTAAAAAGAGGATAATTGAAATCAGTGAAGAACTAAATGTTCTTTCAAACCATACAGCATTCATTGGGATAGAATGTAAAGAAAATAAGGTTTTTGGAGATATGCTGGTTAGGCTAATACCCCTTCAGGAAAAAAGTGCCAAAATGCCTAAAAACTACGACTGTTGTGATGGCCCTGCCCCTGCCCCCCGTTCTAGTGCCCCCCGTTCTAGAATAGTCTGTTTTGACACTGTTGACGGTCCACTACCATGTTCAGATGGATTATTTGACACTGTTGACGGTCCACCACGTTCAGATGGATTTGACACTGTTGACGGTCCACCATGTTCAGATGGATTATTTGACACTGATGACGGTCCGAGTTTTAAAAAATGTCGAAGAATAACGTCAGATCGTAGTGGTTCAGAATTATCAGACTCAGAGGATGAGGATATGTCTGGAATTGTGTCAGGCGATGACGATATTGTATTTACTATAAATGTTTCCCTTGGGGGTCGTTTCATTACTAATGATGATTATATGGCTACATCGAGCGGGTCTCTAAATGATCTTTTGAAACATCTCATAAACGGATTTAATCTCAAACTAAAATCCGGGGATAAAATTAGAATAGAATTAGAAAGCAAAGAAAAAGGCATTTACGAGATTATTGAAATAGGGTCCCCAGACCAATATTGGGTGCTTCATCGTTTATAATATAATATAATATGATATAATGCAATGCGATAATATAATATAATATAATGCAATTTGATTAAATATATTAAAATAATAATTTGTTAATTCGGTAGTTTAGTGGTTTTTTTATTAATTTGGCAATAAAATAAAACAATTATCTTAATATTGTATTGTATAAGGAATATTTTTATTAAATTATAATGATTTTTGAATCGGAACCAAACCAAATAATATTCTTGATGATAGCCATAATAGTGTTATTGGTTTATCATAAATACAGATGTAATAAAAAGGAGGATTTTCAAAACATATTGAGTAAAAAACCAAAAAAAAACAAGAAAAAACTTCCTTTGAAAAATAACAATGATAATGACGCACTATTTAAGATTATGAAAAAACGATCTATAATAAAAAACAAAAAAAACCGTTCAAAAAACAGGCCAAAAACAGTCCAATTAAATACGGAGTTTGTGGAAATGCAATACCACAAAGATTATAACGACACAATTACCGCAATTAATAATCTTACTCCACAAAAAGAGTTGTTTAATCTGGGGTTTTTACCGGCAACGGAGTCCATCCCAAATAAATCTAATGTCAAAAGTTTAGTTAAACTATTTCTTAAACAATTAAACAATGAGGTTTTAAATAATGTTAGTGAATATCTTCATGTTAATAGCGGATGGAATGATATGGGTAAACGAATACGAAAAAAATCGAGTTATGAAGAGCAGATGGAAGAATTAGGTCTTCCGGGCACTCTTTATGCCGAAGGAGCCGAAAAATCCAAAGTAAAATTAGTGAAAATCGACAGAGCGGAACAGATTACGACAAATGATCAAATTAGATTCACAATTTACATAATCGTACAAAAAGAAAATGTGAATGTAAAAGACCAAATGGTCTTACAGGTACAGTTTTTTATGGAAAGAGAAGACTTGTCAGGTAATAGAGACGACAGGGCTAATTTTTTTGACAATGGTTTTACAACCAAAAATACGAATACGACAATAGATTACGACCAATCGGTAATTATCGAACAAGTTTTTACACTCGGGTATTTAACCAATTCGGCAAATAAAAAGACGAAAATGGACAAGTTTCATGATTACGGCAATGTGTTAAAAACAGACGGAATAACCGACGACAAAAAAGTATTTGAAACAATGTTAATTAAACACAAAGAACGCGAAAGGGAACTCAATTCATTTATATCAACCCTAGACGACGAAGCACAAGAAGTTTATGATGTTGCATAAAATTTTGTGCTAAAAAATATGTTTTCTGGTTATTGTATTATTAGACTTTTTGGCAAATAATAGTTATAATATGAAAATTACAATAATTATAATGTGAAAAATGCGCAAGTATCCAATTATTTTTTTATGCGATGATAACATTTACCAGTTATTGTTCTCTATTGATAGAAGGTAATGCTGTTAAACATTGATAACCCTGTCTATAACACTATAATAGTTTTCTCGGTCGTAATGCTAATATTTTACGCCACAAAACCGGAAATTGTCTATGATAACAAAAAACACGAATTTCGCCAATTTGGAACAACCGACGGAAAGACACTCTTGCCAATATACGTTGTTGGTATTTTACTTGCAATAATACTGTACGTGTTTTTTAATTATTTATCTGTTAAAAATAAATCGAGTCAAAGTCAAAGCCAAAGCCAAAGCCAAAGTCAAAGCCAAAGCCAAATCAAGCCATATATAAAAACGGGCGATAACGAAAAAATTTTACAACAAATTCAACTCCAAAACATACAAAACCAAATAAACCAGATAAGTCAGCTTGTACAGCAACAAATCACATCCCAGCAAATACTTCAATCGCAATACCCAAATAAAAAAAATGATTCATTGCTTCCAAATAGCCTAAATGTTTAATCTTTTTGGATTTAGTTTTACAATCACATGATTTTTTAAAAGAAAAGTACACAGGTCCTCATAACATCTGTTATATAGCATTGCTAAATAAATAAAAAAACATCGTTATTTTACCGATTTGATTTATTAAAATTTTTGTTTATTATTGTGTTTTATAACAGATTACATAGATTTAGTATTTAATAAAATTATTTAATTTTAAGTAAAATAATAACACGGGTTATGCTTATCTTATTTATTCCTAAATTTATTTGGTCAATGTTCTATTTTTTATCGGGGTTCTTATTTTTATTGCTTTTTTAGTATTTGGCAATGTTTTATTTTTAATATCATAATCTTGAATTAATTTCATTATACTTATGACAAATGCATCAAAATGGATAATGTCATGCCTACCTCTTAGAATGTTATGCTCAATTTCTGATGTTCTGATAACGATATTTGCTTTACATTGTTCGGATGATATCTCATCGGAACATATGACTTTTTTGAGAATGTTTCTAATTATTCTAATACTTTCAAATCCGGTTATCCATATGTTAAAAAACGTGTCTCTAATAACTTCCATATTGTCATATTCACATTTTATTATCATTTTGACCATCGTGTCAATTGCCACGTCATAGTTTGTTTTATAATCATAGCCATAAATATATGATTGGAGATACCGTAGAGAAGTTTTGATATTACATTCTGACACATTGACAATATCTATTAATGATTTCATGTCTGGATCGAACTTTTTTTTAAGAGATATATATGTTAAATACGCGAATAACTCACCAGACTGGGGTCTTGGAACACGAACACAAATACATCTGCTTTTAAGAGGATCAATAACATTACTTAAATTATCACACCACATTATGAATCTGCATGTACTTGCATTAACCTCAATCATACGTCTTAGTGAAGTTTGCGCGGAGTGGGATAACCGATCAAGATTAGAAATCTGAATAGTTTTAAACTTACTGTTGGGATTTTGGGTCAGTTCAATCGTACTCGATTCCGCATATTTTTTAACAATTTCATGTACTAAATATCTGTCAAAGTTTGTGTTTGTTGGATTTATGATTATGTGATGGGCACTATTTTTCACTATCTCCTTCTTTTTTTTATTACCTGATCCTGGGATGTTGTGCGATGTCGTATATAATTTATTAATCCGGTCACCGTAGATCATCTTCAAAAAAATAGATATCATGGTTTTTTTTCCGCTTCCAGGTGCGCCGTGAAAAATCATATGTGAAATCGAGTTATCTTGACTCATCGTTTTTAATCTCCGATAAATATCTTTGTGGAAAAAGACAGTCTCATATGTTGTTGGAGCGAACTCATCAGTTAAAAATGGCATTTAAATAACACCTAATTAATGATTTATTAAGCATTTTACTATATGATATGACCAACGATAATATAATATAATAAATAATATAATCAATTTTTGGCTAATGAGTTTAATCGGAATTCACGTTAAAAAAATAACGGATGTTATCGACATTATACACGAAACACCGATATATGATAAGTTGGAATTGATCCAAACTTTTTTACCCGCAACCGTTGACTATAACAATAAAAAGTTCGATAACATTAAAAATCTATTAATTGATAAAAACATAAAACTTGTTGTCCATATATCTTATTCAATTAATTTGTCAAGATTTTGGACTAAAAACGATTGGTGGATTCAACAGTTTATAAACGAGGTTAAAAGCGCCAATGCATTAAATGCTTTTGCGGTGGTCATACATACTGGCAAACAGTTAGAATTATCTGACGCAATTGCGATAAATAATATGTATTCAAGTCTTTTATATATTCACCAAAAAACATTGGGTTGTGATAAATTAAAAATACTAATTGAAACACCGTCAGGTCAGGGTACCGAGATGTTCGCAAAAATCGAGGATCTCTGCAAGTTTATGGAAAAGTTTTACAAACACCCGAATGACACAATTAAAAACAGATTTGGTTTATGTATTGACACATGCCACATATTTGCTTCAGGATATGATATTAGGAAAAAATTGGCCCTTAATTACATATTTAAAATAATCGACAAAAGCATTGGCATCGATAAAATTAAATTATTTCATGTCAATGACTCAAAAAAAGAATTAGGATCAAAAATAGACAGACATGAAAATATAGGATACGGCAAAATAGGAAAAAACTCTATTGTAAACATTGTAAAATTTATAAAAAAAATGGGTATTCCAATAATTCTTGAAACGCCGGTAAAAAATCTTTGTCAAGACTACGAACTCGTTAAATATGTCAATGTCAAGTGACAATATGTTGTTATAATAAAATGTGTTCTTTTTGCCAAAAATATAAAAACAAAATAATAAAAAAAACACTAAACTGCTGTAATTCCGCTCTTTTTCTTAATACCATTCTTATTACCACTAGAATCTTTTTGGTCTGTTTCGGGAGTTATTTTATTTATTTTCGCAATAGAGCTGACAACAGAAACCGCAGCTAACAACCCAATAGAAACAACCCCAGTCCAAAAGAAACTAAAATGGATTTTATAAAAAGTCCAAAGATCCGGATAGCAGCTGGTATTGATTGATGAGTATATAACTGCAGACCATATGTGAATTACACAACTATTCAGACAAAAAATGCGAAACATCAGGGAGCCATTGAAGTTCCAGATTAAAGACAATATCCCACAACAAAAAGTAAAAACCGAAACGACAATAAATACAATACTCCCGATGGACACACTCTTCCAAATATATTTGCAATCACTTTCCTGATCTTTATCTTTATAATCGAGTAAAAAGGAAATATTTGCGATACCGATGCCGAAAGCGGCAATATTGTAACTGACAATTAGGATCGTCGCAAAATATTTGCCAATCATTTTACTTTAATTTATAATGTCAATAAATCGCAATTTATAAATTCTTTTAGAAAAGAAGTGATTTGGTTAAAAATAAATGGGAATAACAGGTTCTTGTTTTTTCAATTTTTGTTTTTTTAAGAAATGCTGCCGATGTTTTTCTAAAAGAAAAATAAACTATTAGTTTCAAAACAATAAAAAACATATTTTATATATATTTAACCATCATATCATATCTTTGGTAAGATCTAAGATTTGGGTCG